TGATCCGATACCTCCCCGCCGCCGGGTAGTAAACCAGAACGGTTTGCTCAAGGCCCTCGGGGAAGCTCTCGATCATAGCTCCGCCATCGTCACGAAGATCGTCACCCAGCTGGATGCTATACTCCCCGTGACCAACATCGTACACCAGCAGCATCTCGACGTGGAAGAACACTTGCTGGTCGAAATTATTGAGGTAAAGCGCGCATTTCTTGGTGGGCGATGCCGGCTTGATCACCTCGGGCTCCTCGGTGTTGATCTGGAGATAGTATGATCCCATCCTCTCAGGGTTCCTTCTTTCCAAAAAGTTAAGATATCAACCTGGAAGAATTAGCAATCTCCTCTCCTCCTTTCTTCCAAGAACTTATGATATAAACCAGGAAAAACTAGCACTCTCCTCTCCCTTTTTCTTCAAGGAATTATGATATCAACCTGGAGCTCACGAGTAGGTACTCTTTCTTGAAGCTTTCTTGGTTGCAGTGGAGCCATGGTGGGGATATTTATTTGACTGGACAAGTAGGCAGCCCGTCAATGAAACACCTACAGCACCACGTATTGACTTTTACTACGATGCCATCATCCTCCACAGCGTGACGGTGCGATTGCGGCCTACACAATCTGGAGGTTGACGGGCTCTAGGTTAAAGACCAGTCAATTTACCCACACGACAACTCGACTTGGACGCTCTCCACGCTTGTTTTGTGGGGGCGTTTAAACGGAGCTCTCGAGCGGATTGTGACTTCCCAGCGAGGAGAAGGGTCCCAAAAACCAAAAATGTTCTGGAAAGTAGTCGGATAGATCTCTTCCAAAGCCAAATAGTTTTGGCAAAGGTGCTTTTTGGGAGTGGATTAGGTCCTTGTACGCCGTGAAGTTTGACGCGGGCACTAGGAATATAATTCTAACAAAGTTGGTAGTTTGTGTGATTTTGTCGTGTGAAACCGGAGATTGCCGGCAAATAAAGTACCCAAGCTGTCATCCCGTGGGTCTGCTGGTTGGACGAGTCTTGTTGATCCTACATAGAAATTCACTCTATCTATAATGTAGCTGGGAACAATGTCCAGTCGTCTATAATCTTAGACTTAAACACAATGAGCACGTACATTAGCTTCCATGATCCATGTACATGTACAGAACTAATGTACAGTGAGATCTTGATAGCTACTACCATTGAAAAAATTCAGCTGCATTAGAAAAGAGTGAGGTTTAGTTGATTATCGTCCCTTGTACAGGCTCTCGTGCAATGAGACCTTGTCAACAACTAACCCCCACCATGACACAAAGGTACCTTCTATGACTGCACATCCACTATTTCATTTTCATGCTGAGAGAATCAGATCCCATTTTGTGGCAGAACTTTGCACGAGAAAGTAGACGAAGAGCTTTAGATTGCTGCCAACAAGTTTGACGGGGTTTATGCTTTCCAAAATATATTTCAACTATTTCCCCCAGCGAGTGTTCTTCCATGCTTTAATATGTTTCAACAAGCATCAAGCCAAACAATTTGGTGGATGTCTGCTATCAACTAGGAAAAATCGTTGCCTGCTTTGTCAAGCTCGCCAATTTGCAGAGCTGGAAGCTTCGGCTCCCAAGTTTCCGAAGGCTTGTCTTCTATCTCAAGAGCATACTAAATCATTGGAAGAAGTTCAAGATCAAGGGTACATTCAATCGAAAGAATCCTGACCTAACCAAGAGTATATGTACTAACGTACATGGATAGTAGAAACTTTCGTGCATACTCTTAATCACCGAGCATTGGTAGTTGAGAACACTTTTCTTTTACCTGACACTACAAGGTTTATTCTTAGAACAATCAACACACTTTAGTTTCCATACATTTGGGAATAATTTTTGTTAGTCTTGCCATAGATCATCACGCTGTTGAGTTGGGAATAACTTTTGTTAGTGTTACCACAGACTTGGAACAATCAACACGCTGTACAATTTGCATTGTTGGTGCGCTCACGTACATTTGGGTGGTGCGAACAATCAACTCGAGGAGTATTATCACCAAACTCTATCGGTGTGATAATATCTCTAGCAATTACAAAAGCATTCTTGGAATATTTTTAAGCATACATATACAAAATTACAAAACATTAAAGCAACCAATTAAAAGTGTACGGCATTTAAACCCTCCTGGAACATCTCAATGAGAAGCTCTTTGTCAGTAGAGTGGAGGAATTGGTCGAAATTAGCACGAATGTCGTGAATCTTGCCGAATTCGAAGAGGTATCTCATGCAATCCTGTGAAACAAAGCGCGAGAGAAGTTACAGGAAAGATCAGCAAGAAGATAGTTACCTTCTTCAAGTTTGGAAGATGGAACATCCACGCGTTGTGTAGTCTCTCCAGAACGTTGTCCGAGTTTATATCCTCCATCAAGCTTTCCTCGCATGCCTGCTTGAGATCCTCGATATCATACTTGTCCGAGGCGGCGAGGAGAGCCATCCGGTGCTTGTGAAACGCTGGGCGATTGATGCTGCCGTAGAGATACGCTAGAAGTGCCTTGAGCGATTCCAGCGACATGTCCTCCATCTCGATCGTGAAAGTCTTCCTCTCTCTCAAGTCGTGCGAGAACATCACCTGGAAAACTCGAGAGCGCGTCGCCAGGATCGCCAAGTGTGCTCCAATGCTTCCGCTCGGCGTTGTGATCGTCACGTCTGTGTGGACGCCACTGTCTAGCATGTAGCTCAAGCAGCTCAGCGCGGCCTGGTGAGCGGCGGGCTGGATCGATTTTCCTAGAGTGAAGTAGAAAGGATCACCCTGGATGGAAAATCACCAAAGAAAAAAGAAAACTCACGACTTTGAGATCGATGCTGATGGTGTTCTAGAGAGAAACTTACGGCTTGCGAGCCACACTTCATGTCTATAAACTCGACCTCCACAACGAACTTTCCATGGATCGCAGTCTCCACAGACCAAGCGTGGTACTCGTTCGTGAGGAAAGTCTTGTCATTCACTGCTAAATCCAATCCAAGTAAAGGTTTTCGATCAAACTATAGTCACCAAGTACCTTGAGACTGGACGACTTGACGTAGACCTGGTCCATGAAGGACACGAAGAACAAAAGCTACAGTTGGCACTTGCTCGCTTGGATGATCCGAGTGTTCCTTGAAAAGCCAGACATGCAAAGGCCCACATTTTTTGATCTGCAAGCGCCTGGAAAGAAAAAGAAATCACATACATTGCGTGTGTTCTACTGTTCTAGAGGAAAAAAATTTACCATGTCCACACACCCATCTTAAAATTGTTTGATTTCCAGCAGAGATTGGGAGTGAGGCTGTCGATCCTCCACTGCGCCAGCCTCGACAGAATCTCCACATTCAAGCTGAAAGTAAGATGGATCTGCGACGGCTGGCTCTGCATCGTGAGAAATCGCGCTCGAATCTCACCTCATCGCGCAAGAGCCGCCGCCGATCGACCGCGCCTAGCGATCAATCACACTCCCAGCCTGCGATCACTCTCCTACCGCCGAGATCACTCTCGCCGATCGATCCAGCATTCTACCTCCACTTTAGCGCTTCCACGCTAGGGCTTTAGAAAACACACGTGGCACGGTGCCACTGGTCCACGTCCCTCGCAACACTACACGCGTGTTCGATTCGTTGTCCCACCACGTCCGTTAGATAGGCTGAGGTACGGACATGATGGACGGAATCTGTCTCTGTCAAATAGTCCCAAGCCCATACACGCGAGGGCATTGCCCTTGCCCTTCTCATTTCTTTGTGTTCTCCAAAGGGGCATAAGTATATAAACCGCCCTCCAGGGCGCGCTCTATATATATCCTCCCATCCTCCTTAAATCCTTCCTTCTTTTTCTAGGGCTCGAGCAGTGCGCCACAAAGAAAGAGGCCGCGGCGCCCCCAAATCTCCACTCTTCCAAGGTTTGCGGCGGCGCGTAAAACCCTAGCGCTGGATCTTGAGCTGCCGCGGCGGCGCCTGCTCGACGACCTCGCAAATCGCAATCCTCTCTGCGTTTCGGCGCTTGATTTCGCCAGCGCTGGTAATCTCTTGTTCTTGACCCATGGCGCAAATTCTAGAGGGCACTGAGCCGGTGGATCTTGCCAAGCATCCGTCTGGGATCATTCCGACCTTACAGTGAGTGGTACTTGGGTTTGTGGTGACAAGATTGTAATGGAAGCTGGGGTCTTTTCTTTCTTTTCAGGAACATTGTCTCGACCGTGAACATGGATTGTAAACTAGATCTGAAAACCATTGCTCTTCACGCGAGGAATGCCGAGTATAACCCCAAGGTTTGTGGGAGAGAGGAAGTTTTCTAACTTAACGCTCTGGAAACAGCGTTTCGCAGCCGTGATCATGAGAATAAGGGAGCCCAAGACGACAGCGCTGATTTTTGCGTCGGGAAAGATGGTAGCTTGTCTCGATTTTGGCGCTGTGATTCTTACTAACGGCTTGCTTGTAGGTTTGCACTGGAGCCAAGAGCGAACAACAATCAAAGCTCGCAGCAAGAAAGGTAAATGCTTGACGCTGTCTTCTTCGACAATGGGACTCATGGTTTTCGTTCTTGCAGTATGCTCGTATCATCCAAAAGCTGGGATTCCCCGCACAGTTTAAAGTATGAAGAAGAAAACACATTGTGGTCTGAGCTCAAACTTAGTAACGTCCATGATCGCAGGATTTTAAGATCCAGAACATTGTTGGCTCCTGCGACGTTAAGTTCCCGATCAGATTGGAGGGCCTGGCGTACGCTCACGGTCACTTCTCAAGCGTAAGTCGTGCTTCCTTTGTCACACTTATACTCTTTTCTCTTTTGCGGGTCTTATCACTAAAGTTTTGTGCAGTACGAACCAGAGCTGTTCCCCGGATTGATCTACCGAATGAAGCAGCCTAAGATCGTGCTCCTGATCTTCGTCTCTGGAAAGATTGTGCTTACTGGTGCAAAGGTAAAACCAGTAAAAAACGCAGAGAGATGGAGGTAACGAAGCTCTCTTCCTTGGAGCTCCTTTTTTTCCACAGGTCCGGGATGAGATCTACGAAGCATTCGAGAACATCTACCCGGTGCTGACCGAGTTTAGAAAGATGCAGCAATGGTATGTTTCTCTTAAATTCGGTCACCAAACTTACACGGTGTTCTTGGTTTTTCCTATAGACAATTCTAAAACTTCCAGGGTCATCGAATCAACTTCCAAGATCATCGAATTGCAACTTATAGGACACGACGGACGCTGTAAAGGAAAGAAACGTCGAGAGGGAAACGATGCTTTACTGGGAGAGAATGTTTCTCAACAAAGCCTTTTAATTATTCACTTTTATCCAACCATGGAATAATTTTTGTTCGCTCATTTGATTTGAATGGATGATACGTCGGGTGTTCGAATCTCTCCACCGTTATTTTATTTTGCTAGAACCCTAGTGTATGGGGATTGTTTTCTCCGCGAGCGTAGCGTAGGTGGGCGGGAATGAGATCCAGCGCAGGTTAGTCGAAATTCTTGGAGAATGCTGCTCGCGGCAGGCTGTCTGATTGATTTCCCGTGCCATCGATGGCCTTCTAGATTTGCGAGCAGCGCGAGAAGGAGCTATGCCGTGCGGCGGCTTAGAAATTGCCAGGCTCAGGGATTTCGGAGCTCCAGGGGGCTAGATAACGGCTATGGAAGCGACGAGGATGGGAATTTTGTTCTTCAGCAGCCGCTGGAGATGGACGTGGAGGCTGAGGCGCTGGGGCTGCTGGAATGGCCGCTGGTTTGTCGGCAAATCGCCAGGTTTTGTGCCACGCCCATGGGTGTTGCTGCTGCTCGGGGCTCCAATCTTCCAGTCGGGAAGAATCGAGAGGACAGCGAGGGATTGCAAGATCAAACAGCGGATGCTCACAAGCTGGCCGGGACTCTTCGGTTTCTTGGTGCTAAGGACGTGACGAAGGTCGTGGAAGCGGCCATCTCCGGAGAGTTTTGCAATGTTGGAGAGCTTTGCTCGGTCAAGGATACGCTAGAGTGCGCTCGACGCTTGCACGATCAACTCTTCGCGAAAGGTGGTGGTGGTCTGGAGCTAGAACGTTTGGAACTTTCTCCACTACAACGGATCATGCAAGGCCTGGAGCTTTGCAGCGAGCTGCGAGAAGACATCGACAAGTGTTTGGATTCGAAGAGAGAGATCGTTCTCGACAGGGCGAGCACGAAGCTCTCGCAAGTTCGTCGCCAAAGGCAGGCCAACATGACCGAGCTCGATATTTTACTGAAGGAAACAGCGAGAATGGTGATAGATGCCGGAGGGATCGACTCGATGACAATCACCACCAGAAGAGCCAGGCTTTGCGTTGCTGTGAGAGCGTCACACAAGTTTCTACTTCCTGGAGGCGTGGTCTTGGATTCTAGCAACACTGGTGCGACGCTGTTCATGGAACCAGAGCCGGCACTTCGGTTAAACAATTTGGAGATACAGCTCTCGGCAGCTGAAAGAGCAGAAGAAGTGGCGATTTGCAGAAGGCTTGCGTCCAGAGTTGCCGCCTCCGCAGCAAGCATCCTTGAGCAGCTCAACGCAATCATGCTGTTGGATTTAGCCTGTGCTCGAGCGAAGCATGCGAAGTGGCTTGGAGCAGTGAAGCCCGCGTTCTTCGAAAGTAAAAGCGAGTCGAAGGGAGTGATCATTGAGGAGATTCGGCACCCTCTATTGCTTGAGACTGCACTGGAAAAAGGTTTGGACAGAGATAACTTTCCTGTTCCGATTGACATCAAGGTGAGAGACGGAGTCAAGATCGTTATCATCTCTGGTCCAAACACCGGTGGGAAAACTGTAGCTTTGAAGACGCTGGGAATTGCTTCTATTATGGCGAAGGCGGGACTATACTTGCCTGCTTCAGGAAATCCCAGACTCCCGTGGTTTGATCGTATATTTGCCGATGTTGGCGATTCTCAGGTGCGTGATCCGCTTGCTAAAATGGTTTCTGACTTCTGAGTTTTTCTTTCTTCAGTCGCTGGAGCAGAATTTGTCAACATTTAGTGGTCATATGAGGCGTCTGTGCAAGATTACCGAAGCAAGTGGTCCTCAGTCTCTGGTGCTGATAGACGAGATTGGAGGTGGCACTGATCCGGCCGAGGGATCGTCTCTGGCTACTGCTGTGCTCAAGTATTTCGCCAAAACGGTTCATCTATGCATCGTCACCACGCATAGTGCTTCGCTGAAGACCCTTCCAATCCACGACCAGGACTTGCCATTTGAAAATGCGTCTGTGGAGTTCGACTTAGAAACGCTTCGGCCAACTTACCGAGTTCTTTGGGGACTTCCTGGACAGTCAAATGCTGTCAACATTGCGAAGTCTCTTCAGTTCGACTCGGATATCCTCAGCCGTGCAAGCTACTGGCTGACTAAGCTGACACCGTCGGGACTTAAAAGTCGTCAGAGCGATCTTATGCTGCAGCTCATGAAGCAGTCCGAGGAAGAAGAGGACCATGCCTGCACAGCAGCAGTGTATCTTTCTGATATAGAGACACTGCACAACGAAGTAAGCGGATTCCTGTCAGCCACAATAATAAGTAGCTAATTCTGTGTTCATTCTCTCCAGATCGCGTTTGAAGTTGACGACCTGGACAAGAGAAAAATTGCCGCAAAACGCCAGGAACTAGCTTCGATGAGCAAGCACGTCACTGAAGCAAAAAACAAGATGGAGGCAGTGATATCCAGGTATAAAGAAGGCTTGAGTAATAACAGTGGCGGTGGCAAGGCATTTACATTGCGAACTGCACAGGACTCAATCACCACCATAGTGAACGACTATGGCGCTTTCTTCAAAGAACAAAATCCGAGCAATAGTTATTTGCCTTTGCCGGGAGTAGGAGAACGAGTTATCATACGGAGGCTGGGGAAAAAGCCGGCAACTGTACTTGAGCCTGCCGACGATAGTGGCCATTTGATGGTTCAACTTGGAACTATGAAAATGCGCGTCAAGACCACTGAGCTGATGCTCACAGCCCAGGGCAGTCCTGTTAAACAGGCAAAGGTACAGTCAGATCTCTTTTTTTCTATGTTTTGTTTGGAGTTGATGGCTAGTATTGTTTTTTTATCTTACAGAAGCCTGCTCCATTCCTTCCCGAATCGGGAACTACGGAACTTAAATTCGGGCCTGCAATCCAAACGTCGAAGAATACAGTAGATTTGCGGGGAATGACAGTGGAGGACGCTATCCAAGTCGTTCGCATGGTTATAGCAGAGAGAGAACCGGGATCAGTGCTTTTCATCATTCATGGCGTCGGAACAGGTGCTTTGAAACAGGCAGTGATCTCAATCTTGCGAAAGCATCCCAACGTGGCCAAGTTTGAGGACGAGTCCTTCGTAAATGGTGGCTGCACAGTCGCTTACGTTTCATAGACTACCATCGTCAACGATGAACAAGAAAGCACAGGGAAGGAGAAGGAGCTTTCAGTGAATCCAGAAGTTATCAAGAAAAATAGGCTCGAATGCGGGCGGGATCTATGATAATGGCCACTGAGGAGGGAAAAAGCCATTGTTTCGCGAAGACTTTGCTTCCTCTAGTATGCAAAGTGTGGGAATCTTTTTAGCTTGCTGCTTTGGCAAAAGATAAAACTCACAAGGACGATTATGAAAGCTCTGGGGAGTTTCACAGGTGGCCCCCAAGATCCAAGTTGGTCCTCAAAGCTGGAACCTACCAAGAGATCGATAACGACAAGCATGCCACAGTGGCTAACACTACTGTCCGGAGTGAACGTCGTAATTTTGGACGTAAGCGTCATCTGTTCTTCACCAACCGGACTACGTACCAGAGTTTCTGGTGTGGCGAAAAAAAACGAGTTCAAAAACTCTGAAAGGTAAGAAGGATTTGGTTGGCCCATGGGACTAAACATGATCTACTGTAACAGGCCGTGGTACAAGTTAAGACGAAGTAGCTAAAGCTTCTAAGCAAACGGACGGACAACGAACGCTCCCTTCCCATCACTACAAAAGTCTTGAAACTCACAAGCAGAATCTCCAAGTCCAAACCAGCACTGCGAGCATGAAAGCAGCTCCCATCGTCGCATGCAAAGCTTCCCCGCTCGATGTATTGCTCGACGGATTAAATGGCTGGAGGATGCCACCCGATGACGATGGTCCTGTTGTTCCACCGCTGGTGCTGCCACCACCCGTGCCAGCCCCGCCACCCGAGCTCCCACTGCAAAGATGCAAACAAACGAAACCACGCTCAAAGGTAAGCTTTGACACATCGGTTAACCACTCTACCTTGACGTGAATATGCAGCTGTCATGACCTGGAGAGAGAGAGAGAAGACTACCGTCAACACCAGCCAGCTGAGGCAACTAAAACAAAAGCTTACTTGGATCAGTGCTCGTCAGCATTGCGGCTCCCTGGAAATCGCATGTTGCTCCAGCGCCAACATTCTTCTGGTAGTAGCTGTTGAAGGCGTAAGACGCATGCGCGGCGTAAGTGTCCGGGAGATAGCAGGCACCGTTTTGTTGGATAGGCGTGCAGTCGGCGTTCCCTTGGCCGCAGGCCCAGTTGAGGCCAACGGAGAGCACGTTATCAGATGCTCCTGGAGCAGCAACGCAAAACTGGCCACTTCCAGTTCCAGTTCCACCGGAGGGTGGTGCGACAGCGGTACCATTGGTGCCATTGTCAGCGAGGACTCTCCGCATCAAGATCTCAGCTTCCGAGACTCCGGGACTCAAGTGGAAGCTGTACCGCGGGACCTGGCTCGTGCTGAAAAGTCCATAGCGTCGACGACTATCATCAGCAGGGCCAACGATGTCGAAGAACTCGTGGACGTAGACACGGATGCTGGCTTCTGGCTTGTGCGGGGTCCCCTTGTCGCTCTGGATCCGTTTCACGAGGCTTTGAGCGAAGAGAGCAGCGTTCTCAACGGTTGCGGTCGAGAGGGGGTCACTTTCGGATCCAGATGACTTCCATGGCCAGCCGATCTCACCAACGACAACCGGAATGTTTGAAAAGCCGAGCTTTTCCATGGCACTGTAGGCGGAGTCGACAGCGGCGTCGAGCAAGCCGGTGTAGCCAGCTTTGGTGTCTTCATCGAGAAGTTCCTGAGCGGTGGACGACGACATGGCAAAGTCGAGAGCGAAACCATCATGGAGGTGAGCTTCGAAGGGGTCTACATTGATCATCAAGTACGAGCCTTTGGGAGCCAGGAAGTCGAGAAGCTCGCGCAAGTGGCTCTGGTAGAAATCTTCAAAGGCTGCCGAGGATGGTTTATGGCCCCACTGCGAGAACATCTGCATGGACAGCGAAGCCGACACTCTGATCTCCTGATCTAAACCCGCCGCTGCGATGCAAGAACGGATTTTTCTGCCGGCTTCGATGAGATCTCCAGCAAAAGAGGGATCTTTGGTCATGAGCTCCGACCCCAGTACGATACCCGTGACCTCCGTCGATGGAAAGTGGTGAAGGATATTTGCTTCGAACCATTCTGAGGCAGCATTCTGGGACTGAGCAAGAGCTGGAATGGACTGGTCGGGAACAGTGAGAAGAACCTGAATTTTCGAGCCGGACAGGGCCCGAAGAATCGAGGGATGAACATCGCCCTGCAGCTTGATGTACCGGACTTGGAGGACTTGGAGAAGATCCACGACAAGCTCTGCTTTTGGGAGACGGCCAGCTTCAACTTCGAGCTTGGGGTACCTTACATTGACTCCAACGAATCCAGAAGTTCCTGCGTTATGACACAAGAAAGAGCGAAGTTATGAGCACCATGGTCGGTTCGTGGCGGGGATAAAAACTCAATCACTCGGAGGAAAAACTGTCCTGGAACAGTCGAGGAGTTCCTTGGAGCTGCGAGAAGAAGCCCCCTTATGAACAGTGAAAGGTATGTGGATAGAGGGGGAGAGGGAAGGCATTAAGTTTGGAGCTCTCTAACCTGATGCCACACAGGTGCTGATGAGAATGATGAACACGCGCAGCACTCCAGAGCGTCCGAATCCTCGATCTGTCACCGCTGCTGCTGCTGCTGCTGCTGCCTCCATGATATTTATATGTCCGAGAAGAGCTGTGGAAACTCTCACCGCCAGGCGAGGATAAGAGAGAGGAGCTCGCACAGTGCAAGCGTGGTTTAAGAGCGCATGAAGCAGGGAACAGGGGGATGATAAGCAGAGTTTAGAGATCCTTAAAACCGTTCCGGGGGTGAAAAGAAAAAAAGGTGCTCCAGCAGCCGCTAGCAGATCGACATCACAGCTGACTAAAACGACGAGAACAGTGCTTTTCTGCTGATTCAAGAGGCTCGAGGGCGGTGCTCGAGAGCTCACGCTGGTGTTACGTAGACGCGAGCGCGAGAGAAGAGCCCCACCGCGATTGACGATTAGGCGAGCCCCACTGCTGCTGGCGATCAATGGAGCGATCACACGACAAGAGGTAGGCCAAAGTATCAACACTAAGGAGAGAAAAAAAAGCGAGGAAAGAGAAAGAATAGCTAGCCCCTCTTCTTGCTTCTCTGTCTAACTAGACGAGTGCTTGTGTCGTAGGTACCTCGCTCCCCTGCGAAGAAATGGATTCAACACTAGCGCACACGTGTGTTGTCGAGAGACTATATATCGCTTCCAGGTTTTTCTATTTGCTCTTTTTTAATTTCTTTCTCGCTATATTAACACATATACGTTGTGGTAGAGGTGTATGATCAAGCTGTATGATCGAAAGCAATCACATGGAAATGACTATATTTCGAGCAAGACGATTGGAAAATAAAAAGAGAGATCTCTCTGGAAAAAGCAACGCAAAATCTGAGAGAAATGGAAGAGCATCAGTAACAGCAGCAGCAGTGGCGGAGAAGTTTTTGGATGATACTAACGGGCAACAAAGAGCTAAGTTCTAAAGCTTCTCTTTTCTGTAAAGCTGATACTTTGCTTTGCTTCTTTGTTTAATCAGGCGAACGCATACGTACGATCCCAGCCCCGCAACGGATACCTACGCTCTCTCATACAATACATTCCAGAAGAATATTCTGTCAGAGGATTGGACGAATATTCTTTCGAGAACAGAATATACTGGAAGCAGAATATACCTTGCTAGTCGTTGAAAAGGGTGGAGAAATAAAAAATATTCGGTGCTTAGCGTGAGAACTCACAATGCAACGTATCTATTGTACTGTGGGATTTTAATGTCACTGAAAGCTGTGCGTGATGGGGACCGGCGACCGTGTCGTCAAAAAACGGGATAACTCTCAATTTTTTACCATGCATTTCTTTTACCCAGGGGTTGTAGATGCTAGGCTGGTAGGTACGTAGCGCTGCGACTAGGTGTACGTATGGGGACAGTATCATATGGCATCATACGTCCTTGGATTTAGAATGTTACGAGGGGAGGTTTAAGGGAGGTTTTTACACGAGCGGGTCTTTTCCTTTAGTCCGCCTTTAGTTTTGGTTTGGTTCTTTCCATCTCTTTCAGTGTTTTTTGGTTTTAGCATCTGTGCGCGTCTGTCTGTCTGTGTGTGCTGCTACTGTCGCGAGTGACAATAAAAATTTGGGTGCCATGATTACACCTATGGCCTCCAAATCTCTCTTGCCAGCACAACGAGAGCAGAGAATTTAATGCAGTGTCCTCCTCGCTTGCCTTCGATTTGTTAAAATGAAAAAAACTTACTTGGAACTTCTCCATTAGCTTAATACAAGAAAAAAGACCCGCGAGACGCATTGCCGAAGATGGTCTAAAGTGTTTTCAGTACAAAATTTGGTGCATTGACCTGTGCAAGCAACGAACAAGGTTTGTGAGTGATGTGAGAGCCAAGCAGAAACACCAAAGCTTTTACTCACCCCAAGGAAGAGAGGGAAAAGGTGTTGATCAATCGTTGCTTTGGTCACTTTCGTCGTCCGAAAAGCTTCCACCGTTTTCCAGGTGAGGCTTGTCTTCGTCCATTCTTTCTTCTTCTCCTTCCTCGTCCTCGTCTTCCTCTTCGTCAGCCATTGCGTCCTCCACCTCTTGATCACTGTCTTCTTCTTCATCTTCTTCGTAAACAGCGGTAGCCACCTCCGTTTGCTCGACGCTCTTGGATGTCTCGTTTGCCTTGATCTGAAACAAAACAGGATGAGCATGAAAAGCGACTGTGTCCGCTTTTACCTTGGCCACGATCAGATCCAGCCTTCCAGACAATGCGAGCAAAGGTCTGAATATGTGAAGACGAGACTCCACAACCTGGAACATGTTCGTCTCTCTCAGGCTTGAATAGAAAATGTAAAAAGCTCATGACTTGCCTGATAGAGAGATTTCAGGACAGGTTGGATGGCAATGTTGGACATAATATAACTTGCATGTTCTAGCAGCGTTATCCGGATCCATGGCAGTAACTGCAATCCTCGCCGTGGACTACACACACACACACACATTGAAATTACGATAAACACCAAGGAAAACAACGAAAGGGAAACTTGTTTTACCTTTCTTCAAGCCTCGAAATTGCGAGTCTCAAAAGAGTGCAGGCATCCTTTGGACTCAAGGACCTGACGGTGTTCGTAATCACCTACAAAGTTTCAATGATCAAACCGTTTGAAACAAAGCATTTGAAAAACTTAAAAGTTCACCTTCGTATCCGAAACACACAGGCACTGCTCGATCAGACTCTTGTCGTCCGATCGCATTGCCTGCGTGAAGAGAAC